ACCTTAAAAGGAGATGGGGGTCGGGGTGTCAGCACCCTTGGCCACTGTACTAGTGTATTTCCATTGTGGGGGTGTTTACTGTAGGGGGGAGGAGACCAGAGGTTATAACTGTAACTGTTGTGTGGAGTTCTTTAGATCAGCCTTTAGCATAGGATTGCATAGGATGCAGTGTGCTGATCTCCAGATGGATCTGTAAGAATAATGGGTAATAAAAGGATTGTGTAAAACATGGAAACATCTCAGCGTGATTTCTACCAGGACCAAAAGAATTGCAGACACCGGCGTTGTCTCAACAGTCGCAAAAAAACTTATACATATTTTCAGGTGAGAATGTAGCTGTGTAAACTTCAAATATCTGAGCCGACCGACACATCATCTTCAAACCCGTGCGATCTTTCGCTACTCGGGTTAAACATGATATATAAGTCACTTTGATAACTTAAAAATGTTATTGTTTGGCTTTTTCAGTGTTTTATTTGTTCATGAGTAAATCGGTTTGGCTGAGATTAAAGTTATTAGATTAGATTCAATGAAATTTAACTTTATTAATCCCTCGGGAGGGTTCCTCCGGGGCTTTCACACAGCTGAATAAACGTCAAACAGAAAATGATTAAACAGAAGTTTTACATTCTTGCAGTGGTGGGAAACACATTAGTGATGATTGTAATAACATTGGATCGCATGTTGAGAAGTCCTAAATATATTGCTGTTTTTAACCTTGCATTTACAGACCTGTTAAGTAGCTCTGCTTTGGTTCCAAAGGTTGTTGACATTTTTCTGTTTAACCATTATTATATTTCCTACAATGACTGCTTGACTTTCATGTTTTTCTGCTTTACTTTCATTTTTATGCAAGGTTTTAATCTGGTTGTATTGTCCTTTGACAGAGTCATGGCTATCATGTACCCGCTGCACTATCAAATGAGAGTGAGCCACAGGCTCATTTTATCTTTGATCGCTTTTTTCTGGCTTCTTGCCATAACTCTTATACTCATTGCAGCTGGCCTTCTCACAAGACTTTCTTTTTGTAAGTCTGTTGTTATTCAGAGCTACTATTGTGATCATGGTCCTATGTATCGTCTTGGCTGCAATGATATACCCCCAATCGTGCAATTGCTGGTTTGGCACTAGTTATAATTCTTGGGTTTCCACTGGCATTTATCGTGGGAAGTTACTGCTGTATTGGCTATTCTTTGTCAAAAATTTCTACATTTAGGGAAAGAGTGAAAGCTTTCAAAACCTACACAGGTCACCTTTCATTAGTGGCAATTTATTTCCTTCCATTTACATTTGTGTATATCTTTGGGAGTGTAATACATCCAAATGCTAGAATCATAAGCCTTTCTATGAGCACTGTATTGCCTCCCATGTTAAACCCGATTATCTATGTTCTTCAGACACAGGAGATCAAAGAGTCATTAAAGAAGTTGCTGAAAACTCGAGTTACATCCAAAATTGCCACAAAATATTAAAAAAGGATTTAGACTTGAATGTCTGCAGTGCCCTCTGCCATCTGATGTAAAAGATTTAGTCTTTCTGTGACCAAAGAGATTGTGCTCCTCTGTATTTTCAGGACTAAGATGTAGACATTATTTTAACTTTAGTCAGTTTTAGTAGCAGCAATCTTCTTTTTTCTTTGAATTTGTTGTTTCAGTACCTGCGTGTGCCACTGTTATGGTACTATTATAGAATCTAAATGACCATAGAATTGAAATTACAAGTTAATATAATTGAAAAAGAATATTCAACAATAAAAATATAATTGAAGTAATACCAGAGTAATTTCTCTTGCATGACCATAGTAAAATGAAATTGTAAAAGCTGCTTTCC